CGGTACATACGAACGTATGTACGCACACATACTCCAGTGCGACGATCGAGCAAATATTAAACAAACAGAAAAAAAAAACAATATATCATGACATTATGCACGCGCGCCGCGCGCAACGGCACACAAGACGTTGTGCTTATGCTCGAAGCTCATAAATCCAAACGTTTCTTGGCGATCTTGATCGATCGGCGCGGCTCTCGAGCGAGGATCGCGACTCTACGTTTATGCACTGACACACACACATTTCCCAAGTGCATATCTATGTGTATTTTAACAACAATAACTACAACAGCTATTGTCAGTTTGTTATTATGATATGCTCGATGAGCATATTTAATATTAAGCTTGTAAATGTCTTCTTTTTTTCCTAAGCTTTGCCATCCGCAAACATACTTATATCAGACAGAATTAATTGTTGCAAAAGAAGAAAAGGATTTTCCACTTGACAAGGCCCGTTTTTATCTGTAGACTATATTTTCCAACCGCACCTTCGTCAGCAAACACGTCATCAGGCAGTTCCTTCGATTGGGGATTTTTTCGCGCTCGTTATATTATATGCCACGAAGCGTATAACACGCGTGTATATAATATAAACGCGGCATGCAAAAGTCTCTCTCTCACTCGATGTTAAGCGCCTAAAGAGATTTATTTACGCGGCCACGCGTGTGTACACGGCTCGCGTGTACGACAAGAAATTACCAGGCTCTGCGTAAAACTATTTCGAGAGGCCTAAGTGATTCGCCTTTTTACGACGTTGCAGCCGCAGCAGCAGCAGTGCGACCGAAGTGCATTTACGAGAGACGTTGATTTTTTCCACTCGGTGAATTTTTCGTTGTTGTTTCGTTTATTCGCGCGAAACTCGATATATTTGTATTTGGGATTTTTAATTCAGGAATTAATGATCATAGCCGAGCGAGAGAGAAAGAAAAGCATCGTGTAAATCGTCGTAAAAGCTTGAGTAAAATTACTCGTTATACGCGTGTCGCGTCGAGCCACTAAACCTTCAACATGGTAAAAAATCGCTATTATATACACCTCAGCCGGCAGGCTTAATCAGGCTTCAAACATTCAGCTGTGTAGTATTTAAAAAAACCTTAAAGTAAATGCAAATTCAAAATTAGTTATGATTGAATTTTTCACATAAACTGCACAAAAAATGTAAATGTAATTGCATACATTATTAATAATGCAAAATAAACGAAAAGGATTTAATTCTTTGATCAAATTTAAACATATTCTGATAAAATATCACTGTTTCTATTACACTGACTCATTTTTGAGTTGATCTGCGAATATAATCATGAGATTCATTCAAAGTTAAAGACATACCTTCACCGCTAGGTGGCATATACCTTAATCTGTAAATCTAAAAGTGGTAGAGGACAGATAATAGACTAAATTTATTGTTTTTATTTGAAGTGTACTGTACGTTTCTAGCTGCGATACCAAGTAAACAATATTATAGCCCCCATTGTCGCGTTGTTAAAATAATTTTTCATCATCTCGATCGACTAATACGCATGCATACGCACCTGCAAACAAGGTAAACACGTAGACACCTGATCGTTCCATGAACGATCGTCGATCTTCTGTACTGCACATAAGCGAAGTTTTTCGATATATTATATTCCACAAAAAATTACGATCGTTCGAGTGCGCGAATTGTCAGAAAAAAATACATATACGCACACGATTTCAAGGAGCTGCTCGAACGGCCCTCGTTTTTTCTCGCTGTCCCCGATAAATTATATATTATTATACGTGTCGTTGGGCTATTACAGAACTTCTCCAAGAGATTGACAATAATGCCAGCGACATGTTTTTACGTCTAGCCCCCGCTATTATTGCTCGACGAAAAAAAAAGATACCTTCCAACTTTCTTCGATGAACTTGTGCGTCTGCAACGAGCCTGGGAACCACCCACTGTGAGCGCGCGGGTACACACAGTACACATACACTTTATTGGATCGCGCGACCACTCGAGAAGAAGAAAAGAAAAAAGAAAAGACAGAAAATCTTCGATCAAGCACTCGTATACATCATGTGTGCTGTTGCTGTATGCTGCATAGAAAGATGCATTTGACATTACCCCACATAAGCAGCGATGTGTGTACGCTGTATAATACGTTCCACATTATTTAGCCCGTATTGGCGTGGATGCATTAGAAATATCCAGGCTCTGAATTCTTCCGAGAACGCGCCTGAGATAAGTACGCGGCTACTCGACTTCCAATGTAGTCGCGCACGCCGGGGGTGAGAAAAAAAAGGATCATCTCTTCATTGTCGAATCGGTCGTTTTTCCTTTGTTAGGCGTGTTTTTGGGCATCGATCGCATATATAACATCGAAAAAAAGATCGAGTAAGTATAAACCACTCGACTTTTTCGAGTGACTCCAATGTCTCTCTCTTTCTCTCCATATAATACACGAGTCGAGTATTATGTTTGTTTGCGTTCATATAAGTATACTTGTTTGTGTGTATGCTAACATAAGAGAAGCGATGTCGCTACACATGCTTCGTCGACGCAAGCATAAACTCTAACTCGCGCTTTATTATACATACGCACAAGCTCCGGCACTTCCTAGAAAACACACGTAAGAGCTGCGCGCGGCCGCACGCGTAAAAGGGGTATGCGGAGCACACACACACACACACACACACACACAATATATATTATACGCTGTTCGCGCACGTCTGTCATTGCTACTTGGGGTATATAAAACGTCTTTGCTACAGTACAGGGACACGAAGGAGAGAAAGATAGAGATGAATATCGGAAGTTGCGTGTATTTCGTCGGCAGTGTCTCCGGGCCGAAGCGACGATTGACCCAAGCCAAGGCTTGTCGTGCTATAGACCTTTGAATTGCACAATGGGTGGCTTTCTCTCGCCCATGCCCTTCAACGCGCCTGAGAGACAGAGAGAAAGATATAGCTATAGCAAGAGCTCGAAGCTGAGAAAATAACGTATCGCTCGCCTCGCTGGTGCAAAGTGTAGCGTCGTTGCGTTATGTATACACGACAGCTAGCTATCCAACGACAACAAACAACAACAACAGCAACTAGCCAACAACAACAAGCCAAAACGTCGTGGGTGGGTGACATATTCGAGCTCCGAGTCCCCGATTCGATCAAAATATCATTTCGTACTTTTTGACAAGGTGAGAATACTGCACCGAAAGCTCGGATTCTAGTAATAAGTTTTGCCCAATTCTTAAGTCTCGGTATTTATATGCAGTCAGTGCGTAGAAATAATAATATTATTGCTCTCTCTCTCTCTCTCACACACACACGAGTGCAAACTTTTACGCGAGACTAGTTCGAGAGATTTTAAAATTAGACACGGGTATATGCTTAGCCCGACTGCATTGCCCCGAGTATCCCTTTCGCAGCTCACTCGAACTGTGCTTCTTTCTGTCTCTCACTATTTTCGGAAGCTTTATAAGCTGGCCGTGCGCGAATACGCGCGGTCGCACGCGCGTCTATCTCTTTTTGAAATTCTGCTTGTAATATAAGGTGTGAAAGCGATTTTCGAATGTAAATTTGATGAATGATATATAGCTGTGAGTACGCGTGTGTGCGTATGTGCACGCGTGCTCGAAACTTATGCCAGCCAGCACACGCGTACACACACGCGCGAAACCGTATACGTATATCCCCGAGCTTAATTACTTGATGGCGTGTAATTTTATAGCCAGTAAAGGTCGTTGTTTTCCTCTCTTTTCCCGACTGGAGCGCAAGTATAGCCGACTTATACGCGCACGCGTCTGTAGCGGCAACACGTGTTGCGCGAGAGCGAATTATATACAGTTAATGCCGTAAAACACAGCGTTAAAACGTTGGAAAAATTCTAACGCTTTTATGAATTTATATCGATTAAAATTTGTAATTTCAATTGACGCGACAAGTCGGGACAGGAAATGGCTATAACTGCACATCAAATACAAATTTTAGTCGATACGAGCATAAATGATTAAAATTTATTAATATGGCTAATGGCAGTCAAAGTGGCTTGATTTAGTACACCGACGTTAAACAGAACAGAACAGGACAGAACCAGAGTATGATTCAAGTCAAACACAATATCGTTTTTCACCTCTTGTTGTTGTGTGCCGATTGTAAAAGAAACCGAAAATACTACTTTGCTAATTGGTATATAAATCTTTATAAAAGTAGTACAAAAGAAGACGACAAGGTGAGTGATAAGTGCCTCAAGTTTTTCCGCGAATATTTCCCGCGCTCGTAACGGTACACGTGTACGTACAACGTGACTCGCATCTGACGTTTTGAATTTACACGCTTTGGTTGAGCTTTGCAATATCGCGTTGCTTAGATTTACGCCTCAAAGATTTACAACATTGTACGATCCAGTTACGTAAACTTCAACCTTCGAAATTAGAAGAAATTTAACAAAGATGGAAAAACTTAGAACTCGTAAAGTCGTGGAGTCGAATGATTTGACACTAAACACCAAACAAGGGGGCCTCAATACAAACGGAATTTCCACTCTTATTAGTCTTATTATTTATGAAACTCGTATGTTTTGATTGCAATGTTTACAATATAGTTCACATAAGCCATCTCCTGGCTAGCATGTGAATCTACCGCTCGATCACAATTTGCCGGATCGTTTCCAAGTTCAGCAATCTTTCTACGACTTTTCTACGCATAGCATTAGAAAGGCCTTACGGATATCATTCATTGTTACAGCTAGGAGTTTACGCTGTTGCTATCGGGTGATTCTGGTTTCTGGAGCTTTTTTTAAAATTTTTCAATTACATTTATAATCGCTTGGATTTAATTTCTTCCATGAGGATTTATTGAAGTTCCAATTGAAATTGCTGTTCTTAAATAGCTGCTAATTGATTTTTGATTTTCATTCAAGTGGTTAAATCTTATACAAAAATAATAAACCTATGGATGTGCAATTTTATTCACATAAAATTTAACAAACAACCAATAAGGCATTAAAAAGTCCAAGAAGATAAAAATTTACATAGACATTAATTTTTATATAACTGATTGCAATGCGGATATTTCTGCATAATTTGTTCATGTTTAAAATCCTGATCCTGCTGATGGACATTGATATCACCGTTAGGATAAACCCAACGTCCTGCCCTTACTTTGCCGATGAAGTCTAGATAGGACGAAACTCTAGTGTACTTGGTCGTCTTTCCGCACCATTCATGATCCGAGTAACTGACAATGCCAATCAGGGTATTTGTTGATTCATCGATTAGTGGACCGCCACTGTCACCCTGTAATTTAAGTTAAATTAGCATTTAATTCAAATGGATTAAAAAAAAAATTTCATCATTAAAAAATTCTTGAGATCAACTTACGTTGCATGCTCCGTGCGAGTTATCGTTTAGGACGCAGACTTCCGTGTCTCTACAGCCGAACTGCGGTTCGATTTTATTGATCAATCCAGTTGCGAACTTCAAACGTAGACTGTATGTTCCTAACTCTATTTTGCCATTTTGAGGGTTCCATTTTTGTTTGTACACGCCAAAACCGCTTACAATGGCAACTTGTATATTCGGCGGTTTATATCGATAGTCGTCCCTGGGTAGGTTAATTGCCCTTATTCTGTGACTTTCGCTTTTGAGAGGCAAAGGGCGTTTCAACTATTTTAAAGATGTAAGAAGTTAAAAATTAATTGTAAACTTAATAACTTTTTCATATAGTATAAAGCGGCTCACCCTCAAAATTGCTATATCATCAACAACACTGTTCAACTTGAAAGAGGTGGGTATGATGGTGTACTCGACATCACGATAAATGCCGGAGCTTGTATTACGCAGATTCGTCGTACCGGCCATGACGGTAATCCGTAAATTTTTTATTTTGCGAAAGTATTTGTCATAGACGCAGTGGGCGGCTGTGATGATGTGCACATCATCGAGTATGCTGCCACCGCAAAAATGACGAGTGCAACGGTTTTGGAAGATGATTTGCAGAGACACTTGATGCTTGAACTTCCCCTCTGGAGCTAAAGAGCCGCCGACTATTCTCTGCACTACTTTCGCTGATGCGAGAATTTTTGAGAGAAAACAACTCAATATCATGTGGCGTTCTGATTAAAAAGATGGAAAAGTAAAAAAACTCACCATTGCTGATTGCAATGTTTAGAATCAGTCCAACAAAAAGACTCCATAAAGATTTTTTCAACATTTTGACAATTATCAGAGTATTAAAACTTGATGCAACTAGATAGAGGGCTTGATCTGCACCATCAAAGTTTCAGAATCATTATGCTTCCAACGATCATCCCATTGATTACTTTTTTTTCGTTAATTTTGGTCCAGTGGTGAAACTTTTTAAAATGAAAAACAAACATAATTAAAAAATATGTTGACGAATATTTTCAATAAATTTCAAACAATGAAAATAGTTTATTTTTAGATCAAATTTCGCACTTTTCATTAAACTTATGCCTATGGCTTGGAAATGATCAACTCAAAGATATCAAAATTAAACATCTATGAATAAATAAATAATTCCAGTAAAAAAAATGTAACAAAAAATAAAAAGTATATCTGACGTTACGTTTTTTGGGACTCAATCACGTAATAACCATTAATAGCATCATAGCTTCATGCTTATTACCATTCTGTCAGATGATCATGAATTACAAATAATAAGATTTTTCAAATCAATTTTCTCCTCTTGCACCTCGTAAAATGGGAAAAATCAGATGTGGCCTCGAGATTTTCCAGAGCGCGTCCCAGCCACGAATCTCCACGCGCAAACAAATCGCTATACGCGAGGGTGTCGGCAACGGGGTGCATTATGCGTCGTACGTATGTGTGTGCAGCCTCGTGCGATATACAAGCATGTGAAATTGTCGCTAAATGCAGCGCAGTGTACGCAGGCATATATACACGCGTTGTCGCGATAGGATTATACGTATAGCTGCAGAGCGCAGCCATCGCTACCTGTACGCAAACGCGTGTTTTGGACCAATGCAGGCGCAGAGATATCGGCCAGGCCGGTGTGATACGCACATACATATTGCTCATACAGACATTATAACACGCGCACGCGTAATGAAGGTGGTATACACCTACGCAACGATCGCAATTGCACCTCTATATACACTCGTGTATACGGGTGTCGTTAAAGCACCCACTGAATTTGCCTATACACACCCGAGCGCATATGTATACTCATTTACAGTCCGAGAGGACGCGAGAGTGGATAATGTATATCTACGCGCGCGAGCTGTATACAATGTACGTATAAATACGATTTTATCGAACGCGAGAGAGTAGAGTGCGTCAAGCGAGAGGTCAATTGCAATTCGCAATCGCGTTAACTCGATGGTACTTTGAATTGCATTTCGATCGCTGGAGCTTATAAACACTAATGCATGCGCGATTCAGAGTCGTTAAATCAAAGCGACGACGAAGCCCCTCTATATGTATAATACGCGCCACGCACACCTTTTTTCCTTTATGTATCGCAAGTACGCGTATACGTTGATGCAAGTACACAGATGCAGAGCGGCGAGAGTATACTATGAAGATCTTGAAGGCGAATCGGCGCGTCGGCCAAATCAAAGCTCCATCAGCGACGGCTGCTGCCGCTGCAGTATAGTACGTATTATAAGCTCTCTTACGAAGGCAGGCTACGTATACCGCCAGTCAGCGACAATTATAACAAGCTTACGTTTGAGCCGCGTCATTAAAGCCGGCGACGCGTTAATCACTTTTTCCTTGCCTCGTGCGCTTGATATACTATATGCGCGCAGCTCGCAAAATTTACGAGTATTTCGAGCTCGTACACTGCACACTGCATCCACGTATATGTATTTGTATACGTGTGCGTATACGAAGCTCGACGTGTACGTATACATTGTACACGCGCATATACGATCGCTTTTACGCGTGTGCTGCGCCGCACGGCACACGCTGGTTTCGCAAAAGCTTCACTCGCTCTCTGCCGTATATACACTCGAGCTCGTTAAACATGCGTCCCGTTTAGGCTCTGAGCTGTTGCTGCTGCTGCTGCTGCTGCTGCTGTTGCGACGGTGGCAGCTGACTATATATAACACGCAAGCAGTGCAATACATAACACCGTCGTTGATATAACACCTTCGAGTAGATCGTCTTTTGCCGTCGGAACGCCCAATTTAAGCGCGTCCGAGGAAGAAAAGATATAGTTTGACACCGCGCTGACAAACAATATAGTTAGGCTCGACGCGTGGACTCGATTTGTCGCGCAGCTATGTGTTGCATGAATTATCTACGCAGTATAAGCGCGTGTAAAACAAACGGATCAGAGATCGTCCGCGAGTGGGCTATACGTCTCTTTTCTGATGTGTACTTTCAAACAAATCCGTGTGCGGTGCGTATGATCATATCCCAGTCTCGAGCTTAACTATGCAACGCTCGCGACGCCCCGGATACATAGCAAGTATATATGAACTGCACAAACGAGGGATTTTCATTGATTATAAGGCTGTGTGCCGACAGAGACTCGGAGCTCTATTTTTATACTTTTGGGCGCGCGCGCCTCGAGTCCTCTCAGCTCTTACTCTCTCTGTAAGCGACGCGCAGATATGAGGCAGGCAGTTAGCCGACACGAGTAGTTCTTGTAATTTTTGCGCCCTACGCGCCTGCAGTAAGTGTGCTGCTGCAGTTGTAAGTCCCTGTTCCCGGGTATACTAGCTATACGTACTGTTCGTGCGACGATCTGCGTATGATTTACTCGAGCTCTTTGATCCTACAGGCATATATGAGCTTGCGCGGCTTCTTCCAACTCATTCTTCTTCTTCTTCTTCTTCTTCTTCTTCTTCTTCCTCGAGTAGCGCGCGGATAAATTGATGATTTATTAGTTGCGCTGCGCAATAGCAGCGATTCAAAGAACATATATAATACCGTACGAGCGTGTATGAGCGAGAAGACTCGTTAGAGAGTGCGCGCAAGCTCGCGGAAAATCGAAGGCGGACCTGAGAGCTGCTGCTGCTGCTGCTACGAAACGCGATTCCCGAAATTAATCATTTAATTGTCAGAAGCAATGTGCCGAGTAAGCTTGAATTTCCGAAACTGCGAGTGTATACGTCAACGTTCGGCTGGTAAACTATCGGCTATATAACCGTTACATGCGGCTGACGCACTATGCAACAAACAAAAAGAAAGGATGCGATATCGGAAAGAGGGTGGGTCCAGTCGCAAGCCTCGACTACGACGATGACGATGGGTAAAATACAACAAGTAAAACTCCCTGTCTCTCGCTCTCTCTCTCTCTAGCTCGTTCCGTATAGTATATAAGCCATACTACTAAATGGGGGGAGTGGATGAAGCGATGTTGAAAAGAGAATAGAGTGGATAGGTGTATATAAGGCCGAAGCCCGGTGTGTGTGTGTGTGTGTGTGTGTGTGTGCAGCAGAATCGAGCGCTCGCGCAAGCAAACTTTGTCACCGGCATTAAGTCACTCACTGTGGCGTTATTTATAGCTGCGCAAAGACTAGCCTCTCTAACTCGAGCACGCGTACAGAGGCCCTTATAGCATACACACGCGTAGCTAGTACAGTAGGTATACGGACACGCTCGCCTCGGGGAGTGTCGCTGACAATTTGGCCTTTAATGAAAAGTCATCCTAAATCTTGGCCTCTTAATTTGCGGGATATCACCGCCGCCGCCGCACCACTGCCGTTGTCGTAGTCGATGTGCTCAGCTCGCTACGCTTCTCGTTTAGTAGAGAGACAGAGAAGCTAACGAAAAATGAACACCTCGTACAAATGTGCGCTTGCTTTACGTGTCACGCGGAAAAAATTTAGAGACTGATATAATTATTTCGCTGTAATTAATGAGAGTATCTGCGTGAACGTATTATACGTCGATAGCACATGGACTGTAATATACATGAGAATATTACGGTCGCACCCTCATTTCCAGTCAATATGTGCATGTGCTCGAGGAAGACTTTTTTAACTTTTTTCATGCATCTAAATAACAAATAAATTTAATTACGTCACATATATCACGTAAAAAGGTATTACTTTCAAAAACCTCAGTCGAGATTCAAATAGTTTTCTAGTTTTGCAAGTAACTTATCAAATGAAGTGTATTTTTCTAAAATCGTATCAGGACTTGTCACAATTATTTTTACTTTGACACTAGTAGATGTTCAGATAAAAGTACTCACTATCAAGTAGTGGAGGATGTCTTTAGTTATAATTTTTTTTTTTTTAAATAGACCACACAATACATCATAAAGATGGTTGCACAAATATCTTCAATTTTTATACACGATTTTAATGTAATTTGAAATAACTTGGGTTTTTGTCAAAGTTTAAGTAGTTTATTAGAAAAATTTACTTTATTACCATTTGAATTTATTACCATTTTATTAGCAGTGTTTTTTTTGCATTTGTTCAGAGGCTTAATTAAGTGGCTGCGAAATGGACCAAAAAATTGTGCTTTTTCCTTCAACAAAAAGCGGATCCGATGGAAGGGAGCTATTCATGTTGCATTTACACGCACATACATTCGGATATTTTTTGGGAATTCGATCTAGTTTACAAATCTTCTATGAACTAAATTTTCCTACGACGCCTGGTTAAAAAGTACATTTTTGAGCCTATATCACAGAGCTTCCTCTATGAGAAAGCAAAAATAGATTAACTTTATAGCAAGATGCATTAAAAAATTGATCGTAATTAATTATTACTACACGACTCATAAAAACAAAAGAAAGAGAGAGAAAATAATAAAGTCTTGTCTCATAATTAAAACTATTCAATTACGCACTCGTAAATTTATATATCGATTGGCGCTCATATTCATTACATTGCATACGCCACGCGAAAGTAGACGAGCTATATTGCAATAAATTTAACCTTCGGTTCGGTTTCTATACAACTTTAAGATATTATACGAGTGAATCTCGACTCTATCTCTTTCTTTCACTCGCATATTCTATTATAACATTTAGGTTCGATCGGTTGAACGAAAACGAATATCGCATGTTACAAAGATCTGTTTCTTCCGTCGTCGTCGTCGTCGTCGTTACCACTGGTCGATGCCTTTTTTCTTTTGCTTTATCCATTTGTCCCTCTAGAAAAAACAAAGCGAAAGGTGCAGCAGCTCCAAAGAACAGACGTATACATGTGTGTGTTCGTGATAGCCGATCGTTTATTAACTGCAAGTGCCGGACTGTAAGTACTAAAAGTCGAGGATATGCGCTACGTATAAAACTTGCACACCGACACAAACACACACACACACACACACACACATACACACACATCCAAAGCTTATCTTTAATACACGATACAACGTATCCAGCTTGTATGCAGATAATTTTTTGTGCCCTGCCTTTTTTATCTCATTCATTTCGGCACGTAAATCGCCACGTTCGTAATTTGCCCCGAAAAGCTTATGCATAGTCTGCGAGAATCTTTTTTTTTTTTTATTAACTTTGATAGATCGACGAAAGGTTGTGAGAGAAAAAAACGAGAAGGTGGAAAAGAAGAAAAGAAAAGAGTAGCCGAGGAAGGAAGCTGAAGCGAGAACGAACAAAGAATATAAGTATATATAACTAACTATAATCGAGTCAACGATATGGAAAGCTCGAGCTTGAAAATTTCCTAACGGGACTTAATTAACGTCGTAGTAATAGTAGACTTAGTCGTAGTGGTAGTAGTATAGTAATTGTAACTCGAAGCCGGAGTTATATAGTACACCGTACGTGTGTCATCAGTTCCTACACACACACACACACACACATACGGCACGACTACAACTGCAACTACTTCTGCAACTGCGTTTTACGTGGCCAACGAGTCAAGTTTTCGACTTGGGTTAATCTCTCTTTCCGACTTTCTATATGTGCGCACGCAAAGAGATGGATCGGATGAGAGAAGCAGTCGAAGCGAGTCTATTTAGACTGAATGCTTCATTCATTTCTCGTAGTCGGATTTTTGATGAATGTATTGTATAGAATGTAAAATATGAAATGTAAGAAAGTATAAGGTTTTTGGTACAGGAACAACGACAAATTTTGATGCTATTCGATTATTATTTGAAATGAAAGGATTTCAATTGACATCTGAATGATACAGAGAAAATCTTTCCAGTCGTTTATTCGCGATTCAAACTCATTCACAGCAGTACACGAGCGTGCTTAATATTCTAATCTAGGTAAACATACATGTAAGCGCGTATTAGGTACTTCGCGTAACGAGTCCAAGCTCGTGTCAAGGTAGTCCTATACGACAACACATGCTTGGCTTCCTCTTTCTCTCTGTCTGTCTTTTTCTATCTCTACTCTTTTTCTCTTTCTTATTTTTATTTTATATGCATAATATACCGAGATGCGAATTGGTCAATGTATAGACTTACATACGAAGCTGTCCACAGCCGAGTGCCCAAGGCGGAGCGAGCTGCGGGCTACTACGATGTTCAACGACACAACTAGCCGAGTGAGAGAGAGAAAGTATCCTCTCAAAGAACGCCCACTGCAAGCAGGGGCAGGCACATACCATCGTATATACGTGTACACACGGTAAGACTGAGAGAGAGAGAGAAAGAGAGGCGCCAGTGCATTAGACCATATATGTATAAGAAACTCAAAGAAGGAGACGAAGAATATAAAAAGAGCAAAATCGACGAGGAGCAAAGAAGAAGAAGAAGAAGTAGAAGGAGACGAGGATAAAAAATAAATAACACGAGACCATCCGTGTGTTTGTGTATGCATGTGTAAAGGGTACGTCCGAATATGTGAGCGTGCGTGTACGTATGCATGTGCATACGTGAATGGATATAAATGCACAGTCTGTTAACAAGATGGTGTGCGGTGCTTCCCCCCCGCTGTCACCACTCACCGCCGTCGCCGTCCTCGGACTCCGTAGTCGCCGCCGTTGCCGCCGCCGGCGCCAGTCAGTTGGTGCGCCGCGCAGGTAAGCCACTGCTGCTCCTCTTTGGGTGCGCACACGCACGCACACACAAACACATACACGTATATAGGAGTACTACATCTAACATGGCTACGTTTCGTAGCGACGCTACAACCTCATATACTATATAAGTATAAAATAATACAGGTATACTCGTTGCTCGCGCCGTCGCATCCTTGTGTTTTCATTTAATAAATGCGACCATACCCCCGGTGGTAGACACTATTGTATTACCGCGGCGGTGCGGCTCTGCTTACACACTCACACACATACACACGCGCGTGTATCTAAGACGCTCACGTTTTCTCATTTATTGCCCAATTGTGTTGAATTTGATATTTCTACGCGTCGTACATGCGTCTATTATATGGGATACGCGAGAATCGCCAAGGCCGGAGCCATACGAGCGCGACTTCGATAAAATGACACAAAAAGCCTCTGGTTGGCCAAAAGTGACGTGTAATTACTTTGTGTAATACTTTGCTCATTATATATCCATCATAGCTGAATTTAACTGCTGAGGGTGTCGAAGATACGCCATCTGTAGTTGATGATCTAACTACAAATTGTATTCCGTATAAGAGATTGCAGAGTATGCTAAAAATCAAAAAATTCGAGCGTACAGTTTCTCAGGTAGCAATGTTTACTTTTACGTGGCCAAAAATCGTTCAATATTAAAAATGACCTGATGACCAAAAAATGAACATATGAAATGTCTCAGGTTTGTTTTTGACAATTTATATGTTACTATAATGTCACAAATATTAACTAGATTTTAAATGATTTATAACCGCGATAATAATACTATAAAGCTCCACCACTAGATGGCGGCCTACCTTTATTTGTAATTCTGCAAGTGACAAAGTCGAAATTATTGTCTAAGTCAAAGCACGGTTTCCAATACTTTTTGTTATGCTCATTTTTCATATTTTATTGGCTAGGCACTACCGCACCTCTTGATTAGATAAAGGTCGAGGTAAATAATTTTGAGAATTTAGACTCAAGGTACATCATTTATTTCGGCCAAATAAACTAATTTTCTCGTCGATTGGATAGCAAAATCAAATTGTACTGATTCTTCGTATGTGAGGAAGGAACTTTATACTATGCGACGATCGCGATCACCTAGAACATTTTTATGTATATATAGCCCTTAGTTTTCAAAACAAAAATATATTATGATAAAATATTTCAATGAAATATTTTCCACTCACTTATTTAATTGTACTCATTTCTTTCCTACTGGCCATGAAGGAGGTGGAGGAGGTGGCATACTCGCCATCGCTAGCTTGACGATCGCCAGAACGAGCAGCGGTAATAAGTACTTCATTTCAAATTCAAACGTAACGTTTCCTTGGTCGATCAAGACTGCATTTTTTCGGCCAATTGGTTGTCGGTTTCTCTTAGATCACACAGCTGTTTTTTATTGAAGTAGATATTTGGATTTTCTGTTCTCTCATAAATAACGTCTGCTCGATCATTACATATTGAATTTCAGGTTCTAATCGTCAAAGCAATTTAATGGAGGTTTTACAGTAAATGCAAAATTGTCAATGTATCTATTGAAAGTATGTTTACAATATGATCACATGCACGAACTTGATATGATAAAAAGATAATCATTAAAAAACATTATATGGCGATGAAATAATGAAAACTGCGTTAAATTTTTGGATAGTATAAGTTCAATTCTAGTGGTCCTTGTCAGCCCAAAAAACTTTTTCGTTGGCCAAAAACTATAGCTATAAAATGATGAGCATATCTACTGGCGTAATGCACAGATATTTTTCATATAGGTATAATTATATGCACGTGGGCAGCTGCAGCTACGAGCTGGCCCGTGAACTGCACGCGTTACACGCTCATATCTCTCGAAACCGGAGGCGCCGTTTCTGCGCCGCTTTATCAACGGAAACACGAATCGCGAATATATGATACAAGTCGGCGCTCGGCTACCGGCGCACATCGAGTATGGTAGTATATATTTCGTCGTTGCGATCGGTGTGCTTCGCGTCTTGAGCGACCAAGACAACGACGACGTCGACGAGGACGCGTGGTGCGTGTGCCCATATAATAAACTCCCGAGGCAGGTCCGCAAAAAGCACATCCGAGCAGATAATACTTATCTGCCGAGACACGTTCGATGTATGGCCGCTGCTGCTGTAGCACAAGTGGCAGAGTGAATTTACACCTCGAGCAATAGCAGCGGCAACATTTTCGAGAACGGGTTCCTCCTTTTTTTCTTTTACTCTCTCTCTCTCTCTCTCTCTCTCTTTGTTTTTTTTTAATGTAGAGTGCTCGCGAGTAGCAGAAGCAGCAGCTCTCGCGCAGGTGGAATTATATTATGTTATATATAGCTAGTTATAGAATCGAGGAAATTTTATGAATATTCAGACTCGTCTTTATATAAACATAAAAATCCTTTTTGCGTCCGTCAGTCGCCGCCTCTCTCTCTCTTTCTCTCTCTCTCGGCTAAAGTAAAAAAGTCCTTTTTTACTCTCGCTCGCTCACTCTCTCGAGGCTCGACACGGGACATAAAAACTAATTAAACACATCCGCTAATAAGCCCGGGCATCTAATCCCCATAAAATCCGTGCACGACTCCTCCGCTGCCGCTACTCCTCGTCCTCGTCGTCATCTTCGAGATTGCGCGGCTAGTAGTAGTAGGATGAAAAAAAAAATGAGATGAAGAAGAAGAAGAAGAAGAAGAAGAAATCTCATCTTGCAAAGTTGGGTAGCCACAGCAGAAGCAACCAAGCATAAAAATAACCCGCGCGACTCTGGAAAACTTCACTCCTTCGTGTCTTCTGGCTCGTAAATATACGATTTTAACGCTGTGCACGCGCGAGCTTGTGTCTGTGTGTATACGTCCAAGGGGGTAGCTGCTATATGGCGCTAAGTGTGTACCAGGCGCGGGGGAGGTGGGCAAGTTCAGCGCAAGAAGTTGAAACATTATTAAAAGTGTGCTGCTACTGCCGCTGGTAGTGGCTAGGCAGCGCATGCACGGCGGCAGCAAGTATAACACAGGCAGCTGAGGCGGCCACTGCTGCGGCTGCTGCTGCTACTCGAAGAAGCTACTACTACCCTGAGCTTCGGACGCAAAGTAATATAAAGTCAGCGCGAGCTAGCCCCGGTCATATCATCGCGCTCGTAAAGCAGCAAAGCTCGTCGTGGCTCGTCTATATATATATGGTGCGCGCGGGCCAGGGCCAAAGTTTAAAGAGCCTCTTCTCGCTCGACTCGGCAGCCTCTTATGCGAAGCAATTTACAAGAAGCTTGCTCGCTCGAGCCCATCATCATCATCGTCGTCGTCGTCGCCGTTCTAGCCTCGAACTAAACGCTGAATGTCGATGAGCCAAGGAAAAAAAATGAAAAGGAAGAAAAGACACGAGGTATGGTCGAGGTTCGAGCTCGCGGGTCAAAATGAACGAGAAAAATGGACGCGAGAGACTGCGGAGAGTCAGCTGGCGAATAAACGCGAAAAGCTCGTCGATAATTATCGTCGAGGGAAAAGTCGAAAGAAGAATTAGCCGCGAGCTCGAGAGCACCGGCGCTAAAAGATCAGCCGAGATATTATACTCCCTCGTGGCCACAGCCGCCGCCAGGAATGAATTCCTTGCCATGCGTGTGTATGTGTGTGTGTGTGTGTGTGCGCGCGCTCCGAAATAACAAGCGGTCAGAGATCGCCTCTTTTTAGGGGGCTAATTTATTCCGGTGCCTGCGTGCATATCCGTTGCCGCCGCAGCCCTGTGAAAACGTCCACGATCGCTGCGCGTGCAGTAATGCGCGAAGAAAGCGAGCGAGAAAGAGAGTATCCGCAACTAAACGAGTCCCACACTCACGACACGAGGTCTCGAGTGAGAATTGAAAGAATAAAAAGCAAGAGCGTACGCGGGATGGAGGAGGAAATGCACGGTATTTTAGATCTCGCAAGCGTGTGTACACGCAGAAACTTATATGTAATGAAAATTACAATTACAACTATAACTAATTGATATTAATAAAACTTTATATGAAAAGGGCAAATGATTTCAAGAATTTAGACATAAGACATATCATCTATTTCGATCATAGAAACAAATTTTCTCGACAATAGTACAGTTTAATAAAGTTGTATTGATTTTTGGCATTCATCAAGGCAGTTAATACTGTGCGACATTTTTAATCACCTAGAACATTTTTATACTTATTGACTTTATTTTCAGCAAAAAACATATTATGATAAAAGATTGCAATAAAATATTTTCAACTCACCTCTTTATCTTACTCATTTCTTTGCGTAAACAGGTGGTTTTGGCGTTGTTTTATGTATAGATAATAAGTCATAGGTCCAAGCAATAGGAGGAGGGCGGTTAGGGTCAGCATCAGGTGCGAGTGCAATTGATAGATTAGACATCGCAAGAACTAGCAGCAGCAGCAATAGTAAGTTCTTCATTTTAAATTTAAATATTTTGCCTACTTAGTAAACTCTCTAAACTTTTTCCAACACTGAATTTTTTCAGCCTATACTCGATTTATATACACGGATTATTTCCGCGTGCACTAAAATTGTAATGATTTTTATTTCGACGATAAAGTTTTAACGATTAATTAATTATTGATAGGTATCGCGAATCTATCAATTCTTTAAGGCCACCCATAAATTATGTAATCGAATTTTTCTGAAATTGCATCCCCTATAGCTTCTTCCATTCATGATTAAGTAAGATTTCGAAAAGGACAATCTTAGTAATTAATAGTACATTACGCAACGGAGACAGCAGTTTCTTAATCTTACTTCCTACGTTTTGGGCTGCAAACTTAACACTCGTGTAAGATTGATAACTACCTTCAGTTGCGTAAGTATTTTTTTGTCAGCTTGCAAAAAGTTTATATTGAGACTTCTTAGCATGCTGAGATAAAAGATAGTCTGCAGGACTGGACAACAAATAAAATTTAAGGCACTGGTTTAATTACACGTGCCCTGACACTTTTCTGTTTTTCGCGACTTAAGTTAGCAATAAAATATTAGTAATTTACCATTTCCCTTTTTTTTCTGTATCATCTCATCCTGTTATTCATTACTACAAGGATTCGAACGTCCAATGCACTATAGTAAAATTTCACCAGACACGTGAGCTAGTTGTTTTCGCGATCTTTTATGTATAAATAACGCGTTGCGAGTAAAAGTAAACATTTGCTACCTGTGAAACTGTACGCTCGAATTTTTTGATTTTTAGCATACTCAATCTCTTACGGAATACAATTTGTAGTTAGATCATCAACTACAGATGGCGTATCTCCGACACCCTCAGCAGTTAAATTCAGCTATGATGCATATATAATGAGCAAATTATTACACAAAGTAACAAAACTTGTTAGGGTGGCGGAACCAGTGAATGAAAGGATTCACAGAATTATGCTTATAATCAATTGATTTAAAATATAAATTTGCATTAGTTCCAAGCGTGCATTAAAATTTGTGTTTGTTGGGACTTATTTCATAAATAAAAAAATTGAAATACATGAAAAATAATATTTCATAAAGTTATAAATGATATAACTCAATAAAATGGGGTACCCCAGTGAATGAATGAATTATATCATGAGAGAGCATTGAGAGGTTGGGAATTTTATCGACATTATGTCCAGTTTTTTTCACAGTTTTTATTTTACGTTTACCTTTGTTCGTTTCGGTTTTAGCCATCTTTAATAACTAGTTTAAATTAAGTTAAAATTAGCCTACAATTAACGTAAATCTAAACGATGTACGCACTGCGCCCTGCGTGCATCGTCTGCGACCCAACCCCAAACGTTGGCGGGACGGCAAAAACATTGTCTTTTCATTTACTGGTATCGCGCCATGCCAAATCGCATTATCCCAGTAAATGAATATATTCATTCACTATCGACTCTATTTAAATTTTTGTAAAAAAGTGAAGCTAGTTTAACTAAAACTGATCATAGTACAGTGGAGGCCGGTTATAACGAGATTCACGGGACCATCGAAAAGTTCTCGTTATATCCGGTCCTCGTTATAACCGACATGAGCAGTAATTACAATATTTTTTTTGTTATTTACCAGTTTCATGTATTCATAGAATAAGATGAGATTATTATATATATTGATTACTTTTTTACATTGTTATAAATAATAATAATATAATAATCAGGTTACAAATAATAATTATAATATAGGGGATTGTAAAATTGGTCCATTGATGGGCACATTTTGACTTCTTTTCATAACAAACCATTTATAAAGGGCTGCATCAACATCTGGATTCTTACAAACACGTCTTTTTTTAACGGACCCGCGGCATTCTTCGAAAGATTTTATTATACTCTCACGCAATGCAAACGTCGGTATGAGATTTTCCGTTTTGCAAATCTTGAATGATAGAGTTTTTTTTTGGATTAAAATCTCCCATTTTCAAATTGTACAAAAAAGTACCAGAAATACGTTTTCCTTGCGAAAGCAACTGTAAAATTGATCATTAACTTGCTTAAAGTAAGCTTTGTGTACATAATTCTGTGTTATTGAGTTTGCGTACGAGTATCTAGCTATGAGTGTAAACACGCAATTTCTCGTTATAAACGTCAATTTTTCCCAAAATTTTTCCTAAATTTTGCTCGTTATACCCGACTTCTCGTTATATCGATCTCGTTATATAGATACAATTTCCTATACCTAATGCATTGGAACCAACCAAATGTCCAAAATCTGCTCGTTATAGCCGGTATCTCGCTATATCCGACCTCGTTATAAACGGCCTCCACTGTATTACAAACTTCAAGCATCAATAAAATAAAAATAATTTTTTGACTTGGGTTAAAATTTCCTTTCATATTTTAATTTTAATCTTTTCTTGGTCATTCATTCATTGGAGGTCATTCATTCATTGGTGCTGTCACCCTACGTCGCTTGATTATCTGAGCATTATTATTGTCAATTGTAGTAAAGATTTGAAGAAATTAAGTCGCACACAATGTTGTTTTTTTTGGTCGCCGGAATTTATACATCAATTTGATTCTCGTCAAATTAGCTTATTTTTGGAGTTTATTAATAAGTATAATACGCGATGCGTATACGATGTAGTATCACGCGGTCAGAAAGAAACCCAAGTACAGTCCGCAGGGCCGCGCACAAGGTGTAATCGGAGAGCTGGCGAGGCCGGCCGGGACACGCGTAAAGCTATATCCTAAACACGCGCAACACCCCAAAAAATGTCCGCTCCGATATGCTCCGGCCCGATTATTATACACACGAACGAGAAATAGCTCGGCCACGTCGAGGCGCCTTCGTATATAACATGGGCTCAGGTTGGGTCTCATCGACGCAACAACAACGACGACGGATCCTCGATTTTCGATCGGATTTACGCAAAAATAAAAAGGATTTAAAAAAAGAAGAGAAGTGAAGGAACAACGCAGCACATGTGATGTGATGTATATTTTATTATCATTATTATTATTACTTTTTTTTATTACGTTCGATGCATATTATAATGCAAGATCAGACAAGTAGTGCTGGTGTTTGGTGCTACGGTGTGCTATGTAAGTGTGCGTCGTCGGCTTCGATCAAACATATAAACGACGATCATCTCGTCTTTCCCACCAAAAAACACTGCGAAATACTTGCGAGAGTCGTCTTTCTCTCTCTCTCTTTCTCTTTCTTTCTTTCGCTCGCTCTTCCTCTCTCTCTGACTCTTTTCTGTCTTGGACCCGGACCATTATAGATTAGGGGATATGTCGCGCACGCACATTATGCAAAAGATAAGCCACGGAAACAGAACGACGAACAAAGTGTCTGTTTCTCTCGATACAAGCTCTCCCGCAGCAACGCAGGCTCACATTTACACCGCTGCAGCAATTCTTTTCTCGCTTTCTATCTCTCTCTCTCTCTCTCTCTCTCTCTCTCTCTCTCTCTCTCTCTCTCTCTCTCTCTGTCTCAGACTCCGTTTCTGTGCGCTCGTAAAAGGAGAGGAAGGAAGTTGGTTTAGTGTTACACAAATCGAATTTAGACCGAGATTCCGAGCAATCAACATATTTTTGATAAACAAGAGGAAGAAAAAAACGTGTATAGTCCCCAGAGCGGCCGGTACACGCGCTTTTATTAACGAGCACTATGGGGCCCATACACACACACACATGTGCGCAACAGACTGCTATATAATATATATAAGTGCTGCGGGGCCCCAACGAGCGGCGTATAACAATGCCATTATTGTAAACATGCGCAGGCTTTTGTACGTGTGTGTGTGTGAGTGTGTTAAAGCACGCGTGTGCAGTCCTATAACTTCGTCGTCGTCGGCGGCGGCGGTAAGTCCGATCGCATTCGAGCGCGCGACACACAAAGTCACCCGTGGACTGCGCGTGGAACAATATACATAAATGCTGCGGGTGTTGTATATATTGCACCGCACGCTAGCGGTATGCAATTAATGTCTGTTAATAATAAAAGCACAGTCGGTGCAGTGCCGCCACTACAGCCACACACATACTCACGCACGCGCGCACGACTGTTTAGAAAAGAACGCTTGCATTCGTCGATTACGGTGAGAGAGAGGGAGAACTAGAAAGAAAAAGAGGCGACGAAACTGGTGAATTGAAACTCGCAAGCGACACGACCACCGCACACGCACAAGTGCCAAGAGTGCTTATAATGATGCGCGCGTAAATTTAATATGTGCACGCTTTTTACTCGAATATATGCGCAATTTGCATAAACGCATTCTTCACGAAAGTATAAGGTATATTTACAACAGCGGACAGATCATATAGCTCTTTAACAAACAAAAAATTACGCGCGGGTGCATTCCTTTATTCGCGTGATCGCGAGAAGGTATTTATTATATCTACGCTTCGTCGCGTTACACCGCGCCGTGATTCGATGGTAATGGCCGCCGCCATCACCGCCACAATAGGCCGAGAGCTGCAGTAGTTGCGAGCTGCTACCGTCGATCGACGCGCGATTGATCGATGATCGGTAAGCGCGACCGGGAAAAACGTCTCATACTCAAGGCTCCACATGTTGAGGCCTATACTCGTGGAGACACTCGTGGATTACAGCACGCCTCGAACTCTTTTTCTCTCTTTCTCTCTCGAGTGGCTTTAATTTGACACGACTTTACCATCGCTCTTGCGGGCCGTGCGCGCAATTTTCAAAGCTGCTGCTGCATGGCTACTGCTATACTGGGGACTTTTGTGTACATAATAGTGTATATATAACGATGCAGTTGACTCTCTGGTCGAGTTGTTGAGCGCGCGGCCGGCAGCTCTCTGCCACGAAAGAATGCGAGAGTCGATTAAACAATAGTCCAAGGCAATTTCGCCGCTCGTACGTACACGTACATATATACGTATATTAAACGACGACGAAAAAAAGAAACGAAAACAAAATTCAAACTCGACTTGAGTAATGCATATTTAAGAATTCACGCGGTGCAGTGCCTATTCGCGTTGCAACGCCACTTTGAGAATGCACATAACGTACCAGTATCTCCGTCGAGCATACGCTAATATTATAGTGCAAGGAATCGAATGGCAATAATAATAGTTGCAGTACGCGTTGTTCTATACATATTCGCGCAATAGACACGTAATGTAGCTTAACACTCGTGCACAGCCGCCTACATCTGTCGGCACCCATAATCGCGTTTATACGCTCGAGCCAGCTGATACCGTTCACTTGCGCCCTGCAACGATATATATAACACACCAGCACCAGCATAGTACTAGTAGTAGCAGTAGAAGTAGTAGTAGTAGTAATAGTTGTGTAGCAGTAGTCTAGCAGGCAGTGTTAGTATGTGCTAGTAGTAGCTATAACACCAACTTGTATGCAAATTATATTCATGCAACGGGGATCTCTCGCCTCTGTCTCTCGCACTCGTGCATGTGTGTGTATGCGCTTACATGTATGGGCGATTACGGGGGCGCAAACGTTTACAGCCTCGCGCGCGTATATATATATAGTACTTAATATTACACATGCACTCTAGCTCGAGCGTCGTATGAACCTACAGCTATTTTGCCATACGTGTGTGTGTGCATACGTCTGCAAGTTCTGCTATTGTATCGAGTTTACCTTTTACATTGTATATGCTGCAGTGCACATGCGCCACCGTCTGTAGGTATAACACATATACACGTCACCGAATTCGAGACTTAAGGCTGCTTGAGAGATGAAAAATCCAAAGCGATATTGGAATGTGTTGATTGATGAGGGATCGCTACACTTGTATAATTGTTTAGCTGCAACGAGCGTAGGGCAGAACGACCTTTTCATTAAATTTAAGGGTCGGAGCATGATTTCAAGAATTTAGAGATAAGATATATCATTTATTTCGATCAAATCAAAATCAAGTTGTATAGATTCTTCGTATGAGTCAAAGGAATTTTATACTATGCGACGATCGCGATCACCTACAACATTTTTATGTATATAGCCCTTAATTTTCAAAACAAAAATATATTATGATAAAATATTTCAATGAAATATTTTCCACTCACTTATTTAATTGTACTCATTTCTTTCCTACTGGCCATGAAGGAGGTGGAGGAGGTGGCATACTCGCCATCGCTAGCTTGACGATCGCCAGAACGAGCAGCGGTAATAAGTACTTCATTTCGAATTCGAACGTAATGTTTCTTGGTCGATTGAGACTCTGAATTTTTTCGGCCCATCTCCGATTTATATATACGGATGATTATCACTTGCACTGAAATTGTAATAATTTTTATGCCACTGATAATGTTTTAACGATTGATAGTTAACGAGTAATTATATCGAATTCTTTGAATGATTGTCAAGGTATTTGGTCGCTATCATACTCGATCATAATATTTTGAATTTTGGTTCTAGTAGTCAATATATTTTCAAAATATTTTTTTATATTATACAACCTAACTTTGTGGATCTTTTTCCGAGTCAAGCAAGCGATGCGTATAATATACACTACAATACAACTTTCAGAATGCTTAGGTAGATTAAAATCAAACATATACAACGCCAGTTTTTTATGTTAAAACAATGAAAATTTTCTGTTCTTTTGTCTAGCGAATTTGAATGATTAATCGAATAACTTTCTAAATATATGAAAGAGTAACTAATATGAAGAATTTTTAGAAACCTTAAGCTTGGACAGTCAAATTCAACTGCCAACGGCCTGTATAAGTCAGGACACAAAATTCGCCTTTTTTCATAATCACCCATATATAGTTATGGCTCGCATCACGAGGAATTCGCTGGATGGAAGCGCAACTGTATAGAAGCCCAAGAGAGAGAGAGAGAGAGAGAGAGAGAGAAAAAGAGAGACAGAGAGACGAGCTGCGACCACGTCGTGGCTTAATTAGACGCCGCAACGTCGAGTCGTCGTAGTCGTTGTCGTCGAGGCGATGTGCAGCTTTTCCTCTTCACTATAATGGATATTAATTGCCTGAAGCTTTACTTTCCACGGCATTAAACATTTTCTCGACTTCTTCTCTTTCTCTCTCGAGCCTTTTTTTATTCCTCTTTTTCTTCTTCTTCTTATTCTTATTTTTCCCTGTTCTTCCCATACGCTGTGTGTGTGTGTGTGTGTGTGTGTGTGTGTGTGTGTGTGTGTGTGTGTGTTTGTATTTGTTACATTTTTCTCATAGTTAAAGACCTTCCATGTAGCTTGTATACCGATCGGTTCCACTGGACTTTGCCTATATTTGACTCTTTTTTTCGCGTCAGCTCATAATCTATCTAAATTTTAAGCGACGCGCCAAGCAGATCAGCCCAAGAGAGCGAGAGTTAAAACTTATTCCAACTTCTTGTGCGTGCTTATACCTGCCCTGCTCCTTATATAGGGTATACAACAGAGAAAAGTCGTCGTAGTCGTCGTCCTTACTCGCCTCGTCGAGTCGTTATGTATACATAGCTATAGCTGTTAGCTCGAAACGGTAATCCATTTAAATAATTCCCGTCGCATCAGAACACAGAAATTCTGCGCTCGAGCTGTATGTGTATAAGAAAGTCCTGGGCACACGCGGGGGCGTCTTGCGAATTACTATAAATGATAGCTCGCCTAGATGTTGCGACGCGACGGACTATCGCTACTACGGAAAAGATCAGCCGTAATTTATAACATTTTTTGCGTGCGCGTGTCTATTCAGGAAAGGCTTTGATGCTCGACTATCGCGACAGCCTTAAATCACGGCATCGAGTCAATTAGTCTTCGGTAAACACGATCCGGAAATGGTACATAAGTATGGTCCAAAAGCTGTAGTATAAAAGAGCAGCGTGTGAGGACATCTTCGCTGCACGCGTGAAGAAATAAAACTCCCAAGTCTCTCCGTATATACCTGTGTGCGGGCTTTTTTGTATTCTAACTAGAAGCCGAAACAAGCTCCTCGAGCTCGAGAACCGACGATCTTTTAGCGAGCTCTCGCATTGACGAATAGCGCAGTGCCTCGTGAAATACGACGAGCAAACGGGCATGAGCAGCAGCAGCAGCATCGCAGGGATACAAGGATGAAGGGAGAGCACTGAAAACGACCGCGAGAAAGAGAGAGAGAGAGAGAGAGCGAGACAGAGGAAGCGAAAAATCATGAGGACAGAAGCAGAATGAAAGACAGCGAGCGAAGAATGGAGCGATAAGTATACGCGCGCGCGCGCAGCCCGAGATGCTTATATTATGTATAAAAGAGGATTCGACCTGTACCTACTTTCGTGTGAGCAAGCCTTTGTCGTCTTTGTGTGTGTGTATGTATAAGTATACACGTATTGAATGTATAACGCAATTTACCAGTTTGTTCTTTAATAAACATAGATTAGTTTTTTTTCAAACGCAATCGAAAATGTACTCAATTAAGTCGCGAATTAGTGTATTAGAAAATTCTTTTTTCTTTCAAATACTCGAGTTTTTTTCAAGCACCCACATTTTTAGCGAGTACTCGAATATTTTCGAGTTCAATAACTTTGTTTCATAAAAAACTAATACGTTTCTATCAGTAAATTTGCAAGTGGCAGAGTAAAAATAATGGAATGAGTCAAAAGACGCTTTTTCAGTCATCAGTAAGTTGTTAATTTGTCAAACATGCGACTTCGTTAAATTCATTTCTAATTTCAAGTGTCAAAGATAATGTTATTAAATTATAATTCACAGATTCAATTTAATTGACTTTTTACGTCCATATGTCGCCCTGTCATGCCAGACGCGTGCAGCCGGAATCGTTCGATCCAGCAGCTATTAGAAAATGCAGGTTCTTGGAATTAGAGGCGATGCATATGCTTGACGGTGGGGTATTGTTACTATATCCACCTATGTTGTATGTACTTTCTACTTTAATATCTAGTAAATTTCACTTCACTTATCTCTCGTTACATCTATCTCTTTTTAGTTTCGAACATATGTTCCTTACTAGCTATGTACAACTCGATGTGCAGTCAGTAATCATTGGGAGGCGGCAGCGTAAAGAAGCAAAGAGCGCATCAACCGAGTGTTTTTCGTGAAAAAAAGTGACAATTATCTTAAATTATTCTGTGACAGTGTGACTGTGCGTTGTGTGCTGTGTGCAAGTGCGCGGAACGATGTACAGCACTCAAGGGCTGTGTAATACTGCAACCGATTATTTACCCAGTAATCATAAAGAACTCACAGATCTGGAAATATTAGAGAGCATACGAAATCAGTTCAATTTTAACATCGAAGAAGAGCGTTATAAATTTTTCCGCGCAGCGTATCCTTTGATAAAAAATTATAAATGTGGCGAATTGCCACAGATTTTTCATCCCGAATGGATGGAATATTTTCTCGTGGATTCTATTAATTGCATGCATAAACTCCAGTATTGGGATGCGGAAAAAATCATCAAGTTTGTGGCTCTTACCGGTTACAAGAATAAGCCCGCAATCGACAAAGAAGGCAAGACCCTGGTGAATTGTACCTCTGCACTCCATTATGCGGCTAGACTTAGACTATTCAGTACTTTCATGATCCCTGACCTGTTTATAATATACAACAGGTACGACGTGAATTACATCGACGAGGTTGGTCTCTCTCATTTTCACATAGCCTGTGAGGTGTCAGAATGTTACATCATCGTCGAAAGATTTTTGAAGCACAAGCAGGATCCCAATTTCCGCGTGCGTTCGACAGGTGATTCGGGACTTCACTTGGCTGCGTATAGGGGAGACCAAAAGCTGGTCAAGTTGTTGCTGGAAAATGGTGCCGATCCTAATTTGGCCAACAATGACGGCGAGACTCCTTTGCACGTAATTTGCAACAGATACGAAGATTATGAATTGACACAGCTATTCTTTCTTTATAGCTGCGAGATGAAGCAGACGGTGCAAATCGATGCCCAAGACACGTTGGGTAATACACCATTGCATGTCGCAGTAGATAATGGTCACCATAAGGTAGCTAATTTGCTGATGCGAAAAGGAGCTGACCCGAGTTTGGCCAACTTCGAGGGATTGACTCCTCTGCACTTGTGTTGCAAGAGAAAAGGCGATATTGACATGTTGAAAATGTTACTCCAGGTGAGCGCCGAGGAACAGCGGCCGTTGCAGATCGATGCTCGAGACCAAAAGGGTGATACACCTCTGCAGTATGCTCTCGCCCAAGGCTGCGGCAGACAAATAATCCGAGAGTTACTGAAAAATCGGGCCGATCCAAATGTGGCCAACTTCGAGGGATGGACTCCTCTGCACATCATTTGCAAGAAATACCGCGATTATAATTTTGCGAAGGTGTTTTTAGAAATCAACAGCAGGTTTAATCGGATTGTGCAGATCGATGCGAGGGATAAGTTGGATCGGACACCTCTTCAATGGGCCGTGGCGAGATTCTTGCCGGATGTGGTCGATGTTTTGTTAAAAAATGGCGCTGATCTGTCAAGCTTCGTTTTTCCTACTGCAAGTCACATAGACGATGCGTTCAAAGAGTCGAATGATGATACTTGGCTCCATTATAAATTGGATCCAGCGACTAGTGCTATGCTCCTTGTCGATCAACTTGCGGATGAAGGATACTATCTTGACCGAAATGGCGCCTTAACAGTCATGCATTTTTTCGCCACGAACGGATTTTTATTTTGTCTTTGTTTGGAGAGTTTTCAAATAAATGTGAATTTTACCGAAGAGGTAACGAAAAAAGCAAAAAGTATAATGGTGAATTCGAGTCTGTCGCTCTACGACTTGATCCAGTTAAGACCCGAAGAGGCCATAAAAAGATTGACATTCGCAGAATGCGTCGAGTTTGCGAACGAGGGCGATTATTTGGACCTCCCCGAAGGATTTGGTCAGGCCTGTACTGAGCATCTTTGTGAAAAACTATCTAGGCCATTTTTCCGGTCCTGGGCGATCGAGTGTTTCATGAAGTTGACGAGCTACAAATTGCCGTTCGAGTGCTGTGATATGATCATCGACGACTCGTTCATGAATTTAGATTTATACAATATTTGCTTGGCAGCGGCAGATCAAAGCTCGTGAAGTCGTTCACTATATTGTTTTTACTTCTGATGATCGTTACAATTGAAGAACTAATGATAATTATGCAATGTAATTCATATCATTCGAACGACCATAGATTCGTAAACACGTCGCAGCCGCATTACTGGTGTTATTAAATTTTGCTCAGTTTTATGTTATGTATAAATAAATTAATAAATTAATCGTTATTAATCGTT